AGTGGCACAGCGGTATGTCTGTGGACTTAACGCTCGAAACTGGGTTTCTATACCCGTGGTGGGCAGAGAACAGATAGCCCATTGTATAGCTTTGTGCTTAATTACAAACAAACCGTTTCGTTTTTGTTTTAATTTTTTGTTTTGGACATTTTCCTGTTAGTTTTAATTAACTAAACACTGGTAGAAGTATGTTATTTTTAGTTAATTTTTAACTGTTGTTGAAATGATATAGTACGTCCCGGCACTTCTTCTTTTGGACTCGACCACTAATTTCAGCACAGACATACCTATCTCATATGTCGTGCTGATAATGTACAAGCGTTCGTTTCTCGTCAAGATGTTAGACACTGAAGAGGAGGTCGGTAATATCTAAACATCTGGTGTTGGTTTATAACATGTTTGTAGACTTCCATTCGATCATTAATTTGTATGAGGTTTTTTTTTGCTTTTTTTTTTCAAAACTTAAATTTAGTGCTTCCAGTAACTTCATATTTTAACCTTACCCAGATTCACCAAAAATTATTAAGTAATTATTATTTCACTGGTTGATTGATGTACAGATGTGAAACATTCAATATTCAAATATAATTTTTTATTAAGATCTGTCTGAAGGCTTTCAAAACATACTATCTATATAAGTATGTAATGTTGTTTCGTCGGACTGGTTCTTTTAAATAATTTGGGAAAATGATTCGTAGTCTAGTCCACTTAACGACAACTGTCAGAATTCAAAAATATTATTCTTCTTTTTCGCCAATTGTCAAAATAAAAGGCTTTTACTTGTATTTCTAAATAGTATAAACATATACTATGTTGTTGTTGGGCTTAGGATTCTTCTACAGTAAGTGTCTGTGACTTGTTAGCGATAAATAAACAGCACGCACTTCACTTGCTTTCAAAATAATATATGTATTCGGAACAAGTTAAACGTATGTACAACAAATTCTTCACACTATAGAGATTATAAGCATATCATAGACACTATATGTGTAGTTCTCATCTTTTTGTCAAAAGTCCACTTAGG